TTACTTTATAAATATTTTTACTAAAATGTATTACATTAGACTAAAATTACTTCAATAATGATGTTATTATGGTAGATTAACTGAAACTTCTTATTGGTTATTTCCTGTCACATGGTATAAAAACGGATACGACTAAAATTCTGGACTATATTATTCAAGGGAAAATGTCGCTTATGTAATAGCAGTGTTGCCCGATCGGTCAATAAAAAATCACTTTATTATGTATCCACCATGAGGTATTATTTTTACACCTCCCTCCCTCTCATTATACTACAGGATACGTAGGCTAGTAAACATGAGAAATCATTTAAATGTTTGGAAGAGAAGAACATTTAAAGTTTATATAGTTTGTATTTATTTAAAAAATTTAATTCATGGATTTTTAGGACAATTGTGAACTCAAAGTACGTTAACAAAGAAATTTTATTTTTAATAAATATGTTGTGATAATAAATCTATACATAAATCTCAAATCTTGTAAACAACTTATTCTAAATAGTTTGACCGAAATTGCTTTTAATTAATAGGAGTTATATACTGAGCACTAGGACCTAACAATAATGTAGTTCTTTAAAATAAAAATTGTTTTTCATAAATATCACTACAAACTTTGCTATCGAAAGTTTTCTAATTAAAGTCTTTGATTAACACAGGTGAATGTAGAAGGAATATTATGTATGACTATGTAGCGTAGGTAAACAAATTAAAATAAACAAAAATATGCTTGTCTAACCAATAATGGCATGGTAACAAATTTTAATGATATCCGTTATATGGTCACAAACAATCGTAATGTACGTTATAATGAATAACAAAGTGACATGACTGTTGGCCGTAAGTCTTGAAGATTTATGAAATCAATGTAAGACTGTTGTTTATTCATCTTGACAATAGTTAGAGTATGTAACAAATATTCTATATTCAAACCATAAAATTAAAAGAAACATCAGTTTGTTTGCCAAATAAAGAAGTTTAAAATTTTTAAATAAACAACAAAAATCTCTTATTTTATTTTCTTACTTTTACTACTGGCTTTTTTTATTAATATTAAAGATTCCCATTGTGAAGATTAGAACAACACATGTAAGCGAACAATTGTTTTCAATTAGATCGTCATTAGGCTTTACTCTAATATACATGAATATTCATACGAAAATGTTAAACCAATCAAGGCAATTTGAGTCAATAATCACCATTAAATAGAATACGTCACTGAGGATAATAGTTAAAAGTGCAAGTTAATAGTGGGGAGACAGGTGTCTTGATAGTAGTAAGAATATTTAATTACGATAACAAAAATCTTATCAATAGTGGAAATAGGACGTCAAACATGGGTAAATAGCATAGAATAATCATCAGAAAACATTAAAATCATTACGTAATAAGAAGTATGTAAGTAATTAGATAGTGAGGAATATAAACGGAAAGAGGCAGAAAATTACAAACAAATGATAACAAAATTAAAAAAATAATAAAAAAGTTATAGGGGGATTTACAAATTTCTTCTTTACACATAAATTGGCGTGAAATGTACAAATTCCTATGGCTTCAGATATATGAAGGAGACGGGAACGGACTCCGTTGGGAAATGATGGAGGTATATGATAGATCACTCGAAACGATTTCGATTTATCTACATTATGACCACCATCAATTAGATGTGCCAAGATAGAACTGCGTATTGTTTTTATTTGGCCCTTTACAAACCATGCTGGTAGATGTTCACTCATTCGTTGGTTAAGTTGCCTAGTAGTACGCCCGATATGACAAAAATTTCGGGTGTTTTTTCAAATAAAAAAGTGTGAAAATTAAGCACATTACTCATTTATTTGCAGAAAAAGTTAAAAAAATCCATATATGCTTTCACTAAATTTCATGTGAGTAGTACTTTAAGAATAAATAAATACTTAATTTATATTGTGTCATATTATTATTTCTCAAAAATATTCAACGTTTAATATTTATAGAAGTTTATTGGACATTCAATGAACAAGCGAATATCAGTTAGCATTTAAAATCATGTCATGTATACACCGTATTTGTAGAACAATTTGATTACATTTTGTTTAAACACTTTCCAAGAATTTGAGATAAAATTTCCCTCTTTTTCCACATTCGATAACTGTGTGCTCAATATGAGCATGTTTGGATATTGATACATTTAATAAATTCATCTGTAATTAGTTTTAAAAGGTAAATTTTCTAGTAGAATTATTATATGTTTAATTTTCAGCCTATAATTAGAGTAAAATTGTAATGAATATGAGAAATCCATAGAATTGATCGAGTAATTTGATTTCAGAAAAAACAACGGGTCAAATGTCAATAAATAAAAGGATGAATTTAATTAGTAGTTAATTAGATATTATCTTGATGAAAGGTTAATTGCTCTATTGTTTATACAAAGAAATCATGCTTATGAATAAAGATGATTTTGATCACGTTTAATGTAATTCAACTGAATCAAAGGTTTATAAAATAAAAGGACTGACTAATTTGTTTGTTTGTTTTTCGTAACATGATAATTTTTTGCTACTGATGTTTATAGATTTAAAAAAATCTCTATTTATATTACTAGTTGGATAAACTGATAGTCTAATATTTCTGTTATATTTATTTTAATGGGAAGATTCAAACAAACAATACTAAATGAATTTAAACTTCAACCCATCGCACAAGCAAGAGGCTATCAGAACTTAGCAGCTAAGTAGATAACGCGATGGTGTTTGAAGCAAAAGGTACTGGGTTCGAGTCCCAAAGTGAACATCAACTATGAGATGCAGGTACATTCAACTGACGAGTCTCAAATAGGACGAAACGCGCGTCCTGGATTCCACTGCTAACCACTATCCATCTTTTCTTACTATGTTCGTGAATTTAGGCTATATCGAGGCAATAAGCACGGTATGCACATATGCCAATTAGAGACTGAACAATTGCAGTCCTAAAACATCAATGGGAAGATTCAACCAAACAATACTAAGTGAATTTATTCTAATAGTTTTGTTTTGCGTTCGAAGAGTATAATACTTGACAGATCATCAGGAGTCGATAGTTACGGTGAGACGAAATGCTACTGAAAAAAAACATATGAAACTGTTGATGATTCAATTTAATTTAATACTTTGATAGAAAATTCGCAAAATATGTAAACAAGGCATTCCCACCTATCTTTTATCTATCACTCTTAAACATTAATTTTTGTAATAATTATAAGTTACTTAAGTTGTTTTAATTTATGAACAACCTAACTTCTAATAGAATTGTGAATTTGATTACAAAACTATAAAACAATAAATATGATTATCAGTATAAGGTTGTGAAGATTGTTGTTACTAGGACGAAACGGCTGTTTGGTGCTTCCAGGTTTTCAATAATAGCCTAACATTGATCGATTCATGATCTCAATCAATATTCAGTATTACTATAATTTTTTTTATGAAATATACAATTAGTGAAAAAAATAAACCTGGTCATAGTAAGAATTATATGATTTTTTAAAAATTGTTTTATTAAACTGTAAATTCACAAACTAATTAGAATTTCCACCACAGAATATTATACTGATTAATTATGTATCTTAAATATAGGCTATGACTTGTTAACCCATTGTAATTTACATTTCTATAAATTTATTATTCTTGTTTAACAAGTATAAAATTAAAGTGAGTTTCGACATTAAATAGGAAGAATATATTTGTAAAATCTCAGTGAATGAATTTGAAGTAAATTCGACGTTTCCTTGAAAAAAGCTTGGAGCAGATAGCTGGGTGAAACGTTGAATTTACTTCAAATTCATTCGCTGAGATTCTACAGATACATACTTCCTCTTTAATAGCTTACATCAACTCGGTGCCCAAATACTGTGAAACTATTCTCTCTAATTTAGACGAAAGTTTTTAAAGTGAGTTTGTTTTAAAATAATTAAAAAGATATCCAATATACGGTATGGAATGTTTTAATCACATTCTTTAATTTAATTAGATCATCTATGTTGATTTAATATTTCTAACATAATTTTAAAATATTCAATTATTTCTAAACAAAAATTCCCCCTTTTTATTGCTATATTCATTTAATTTGAAGAAATATAGAGAACTAAATGAATAAACATGTTTTGAGTATCTCTAATTACTCCCCCCCAAAAAACGTTTCCATTTCTAAAGAATCATTATTAAATACAAGGGGGGTGCGCGTAATATTCATTTTTTTTAATGATTCTGTTCGGTTTTATTTGGTGTTCTTTATTCATTTATAAGTTTTATTTATTGATCAATTACCTAATCACTTATAACTATTTTCATATTTTTTTATTGATAAAAGTTCGATTAACAGACCCTTAGGATCCAATACGTTCTATTCTTTAAAATGATCTGATAGGTTGTCAAACAACGAGTTTCATGTGAATATATGCTGTTTAGATATTTGATTAATAACAATAAAGTACACAGTATAAGTTCTTCGGATAAAATGAAAATATCAATCAAAACCAAATATTGTAGTTGATATTGATTACATTTTGTATGTGTAAATAACATCACAAGTATAGTTTTAAGAAGAGGCTTTTAACATAATGGTGATTACAAAATTTTATTTCACACCTGCTAGTACAATGGGGTAAAGTTTAAAGTCACTTGGTGTTGTTTACTTGTATCTTGGCTATCAGAACTTAGCAGCTAAGTGGATAACGCGATGGCGTTTGAGGCAAAAGGTACTGGGTTCGCGTCCCAGAGTGAACATCAACTCTGAGATACAGGTACATCCAGCTGGCGAGTCCCAAATAGAACGAGACGCGCGTCCTGGATTCCATTGCTAGTCACTATCCATTTTTGCTTACTATCCTAACAATATTTATCTTTAAATTATTAAATCAAATTTTTATTTTATTTTAGTTGTGTTTTTTAAAAAAAAATTATTTACAATTTTAAATAAAACCACCTCCCCTAATTTTATTTTTTTTAATTTTTTTTCAAAAAAGGATTTATTTTAGATAAATTATTATGTCGGAAATAAAAAACTTTACACGATCATTATTATTATACAATCGAACATTCTCTATGATAAAAAATAATATTCATGATTCCGATATTATAATGCTAAATCATTGGACTAAATATACACAACCAGATCCTATTTATAATTATATAGTTGCAATATTTGTTGCATTAATTGGAATATTTGGAACAATAACAAATTTATTAGTAATATTTGTTTTTTTAACGTAAGTTACATTTTTGTTGTTGTTGTCATCTGAATTGTTGCTTTAATAGTTTCAATTTTCATAGTTGAAATGATGGGTCAATTGAAGCTAGACCACCATGGAAAACTTGGAAGCACTGGATGGCCGTTTCGTCCTATTGTCGGACTCCTCAGCAGTGCACATCCCTTAATTTTGATTAAAATGGTTAGGGAAATATGAATCTCTAAGAACAACGACAACATGTCTGTTTCCAACAGATTTCCTAACTATAAATTTACATGTAATTCAATTTACATTTTGTGATGTAATAAAAGTCAAGAATGAACAATCTTAGAAATGATCTCGTATACAACTGAAAGTGTATGATCATACACTGAAAAAGATTTGACAATGTATATCAATAATGTAAACTACAAACTTATGCTACTGATGAAGTTTTGTTTTAATAAGTTAGTGAAGGAATATTGAGGCCAAATATCTAGTGATAAAGAACATTATGTATTGACTATGAATGATGGTTCCTGAAGGAGAATAGAAAACTATTGGTAACTTCGCATTATGTTCTTTTAAATGTTGTCACACGTTACAACATATTACCTACCTTATTATTATTTTAATTTCAACATAATCATATAATGATAAATTATTTTTTATTTCTACTCAGCATTATTTTCAAAGATTTCTGTCAAAATACAGCAAGATTAACATTAGGAAACATTTATTAAACTATCAAAACATTCCTTATAAATAGTTGCATACTAGCATGTCAGATATATAGTTGAATAATTATCAAGTTTTGAAAATAGTCTTTATTACGGGCTGATAATGATTAAGAAATAATAAGACGAAACGGCCGTCCAGTGCTTCCAGGTTTTCCATGGCGGTCTAGCTTCAATTGACTAATGATTTCAACTTTGAAAAATACTGAAATCTCCACAAAACCCCTTCTGATTAGGAAATATTTAAAAATTATGGAATACTGAAAGGCTATTTTGTCCAAGAGTAATATTTTTGTGTAGTGCTCAGCGGTCACTAAATATGAGATAGAATCCACGCGCTTAAAATAACTACTTTTGAGTTGGATTTTCAAAGTCAGTGTAAGCTTGAGCTAATATTGCTTTAAAAGATAGCTGAAAGAAAATTACTACCATAAACTTGTAGAGTAATGGCTTTCGGTAAATGTTTGTTTCTGTTTACTTACATATATGAATCGGTTTAAAAACGATAATAATTATCATTATTTTAGTAATGATGATAATTTTAATAGCCTCACCATGAGCTTCAGTTATAACTAGCTGACAGGTTTATCTTCAAAAGTAGATTCTTTAGGTATTACTTAGAAGTCATGAAGGTGAGTTTCGGCTATGTCAGGTGTGAACCACCTACTTTCCGATGTATTAGTTGGCCTGATGATTCCAAATAGATCAAATGTTGCCTCAACGGTACATGATTCGTGAAATATGTAATCGTAGCCACTATATTGTGAGTAAAGTATTTAAAGTCACGGTCCACTTATTCTTGTTTCGGTCAGTAAAAAGATGCACGTATATTCCTATGAGTTATGTACAGCTGGATTCGGCCTTCGAAATAAAGTTTCTCAGGTATTTTTATTCTTTTTATTCTTAAATAACAGAATTAGTCAAGAGTCAAAAGGCATATGATTGTGATTGAATTGAGCTAAGTAGTCACAAAAGGGGTGCTAGATGATGTTAGAGTTGTATTACAAATTAATTTAAGTTGGAAATATCAAGCATTGAGGTGTCCCTTCATAGTCCAATGGGTATGGAGGCTACAGCAACGTTTACAAGTTCTTAGGGATACCAAACTAAAACAAAATAGTTGTTCACTGCTTCTCAATTTCCGATTTTTCATCGACGGACCACAATTCATGATAAAAAGAATACCACCAAATGGATTTAACCAGTCAAAATCACGTAACATTATTCAAGTAAGCTATCATAAAGTGATTGATAATCCGTTCAATAGTCTGTTGGAAATCAAAACTTAGTATCTTAACATAGTGATATTAGGATGTAAACTAATACACTGTTTAATAAGTAAAGACTTCTTAGGAATTAGAAGTTATCTGGATATATTGTAAACAGTATATTTAATTTGGTCAAAGAAATGATATTAATTTACAGTTAGCATTAAAACATTATTCCATAAATTTTGAATTGAGATAATCATCATGTATGTCTTGATTTAGTAGTTTTTCACAAATAGCAGTGATAATATTTATGTGTTAATTACTTTAATTCCTTGGGTTATGAGGATTGGTTTAATTTAAAAAGGTAATAATCATTATCTTACAAGCAACTTTGTTGAGCATGTACAAATTTTCAAATAAATTATTTACTTAAACAGTGATAATTCAATTATCAACAGGTAAAATAATGCTAAGAAAACAATCTAGGTTACTGAAATTTCAGCTCCCTTGATAAATAAGTACATTAGTTAACTGAAGGTGATAATTAAGCAGGAAGGGAAACTCAGATGTTTTCTTTATTGCACATGCTTAAAACGTTAGGAATATGACAACAGTTTTTAGTCATCTTAGTACAGAGTGGGAACAAAAGGGCGATTATCAAAAAGGCCGAGTGAAAAACGGGCCACATTAATAAGGGCGACTATCAAAAAGGTTCATATTGATTAAGATAATCATTGGAAAGGGAAATAAAACTTTTAAAAGTGTGAAATCTATTCAATCTATCACATGCCCCCTTGCCTCTACAGTCAATCAAAAACGTCGTTTCTTAACATCTGGTGGAGAGTCTAATTTCAGCGAATGCAGCAATTTTTCGAATTTGGTAACAATTTGTAATTCTTATTACCCTAGTCATGTTATCTCGTATCTTTATTTCGACCAGCTAGTGGAAAATCTTTGTAAAGGTTTGTTCATGTGTGCTAGACTTCCAGCATAATAAGCATTTGATAGACAATAAGTCAATGATTATCTTTCTCATAGTTGTTTTAATCTTATTGTTTTTATTTTACCTCTCAGTCATTATGCAACCTTACTTTGACCCTTAGAATTATGTACTACTGCTTATATTTTACGACAGACTACTTTATGATAATATCGTCGAAAATAGGATTTTCCTAGCTGAATTATCTTTAATTCTTCTTGAATCATAATTTTTTAGAATCTTTTGGTTATAAATAAATAGAAGGGAATACTGAACCTTTGGCTAGTAATGTCAGTGAACGTCACTGAAAATGGTGATATTAGCCCAAAGGTAATCTCCTTAGGATGTTAATAAAATTTGCCAGTTCACGTCACATAATAAGATACTTCTCTTTTAAAATATAATCGATCAATACTACTTTTACAAGTGGAAAGTTACATTCTAGGATTATCAATTATTTACAACGCAATAATTATCAAGACTGTTCTGCAGTAACGCCCTAACTAAATAACTTTGTTTTTGTGTCTGGTAACCGTTTTCACATTTCATTCATTGAAAAAAGACTCATTGTTTCGAAGTTGTGGCACTCTAGGTTTGACAAGTTAGAGCGTGACCAATCGGATAAGAAGACTGCAAGTGGACCCCAACAAATCATGACAATAACTATTCAGCCTAAAAAGAGATCTATCAATACAAAAAGATGAGTGTTTAAAAGAGAAGTACGAGATAACATGACTAGGGTAATAAGAATTACAAATTGTTACCAAATTCGAAAAATTGCTGCATTCGCTGAAATTAGACTCTTCACCAGATGTTAAGAAACGACGTTTTTGATTGACTGTAGAGGCAAGGGGGCATGTGATAGATTGAATAGATTTCACACTTTTAAAAGTTTTATTTCCCTTTCCAATGATTATCTTAATCAATATGAACCTTTTTGATAGTCGCCCTTATTAATGTGGCCCGTTTTTCACTCGGCCTTTTTGATAATTGCTTTTTTGCTAACACCCTTCAAAATGGATATTGACAATCAGTTTTACGGTTTCTGATTTTATATTCATGGCGTAAAGCTAAGACATTTTTAAGCCAGTAAACATTAGTAGTATGTATAATATAATCATTTTATTTTGGTACATGATAAATGTATCGATATATAAGCTATTTTCACACTTATGGTAGTCGATGTTTCGTTGATGTATTGAAGGGACTATGATTTATAGACGGACCGATGAAATTCAAGATAACACTTCTTGGATTTTGGCGCGAAATTCATTTATTTAGATGGTTCAAAAGAATCTGGGCATAATGGCTAATGCTAGTTTGTAATGAATACCGTAATTTCTTACTCCAACTCTTAACGCTTAATCGTAGTACTAATTTTTCACACTAATTTATTGTTCTTTTCAACATTGGTAAGTCGGTGAATTTTCTTATGATCACTTTAGTATCGCTCTATAAATTGTGCTCTCACTGAAGTATTTTATGTCTATTTGTTTGGAGACAGATAAAACTCACATTAAAATGTATTTTATTAACAAAGATATTTCATTAATTAATTTTTGATCATTGTAAGTATTTATATGCCACTGAAGAAGCGAAACTACAGTCCAAAATCAAAGTACGAAATTATAAACAAACAAAAGCAATATTGAGAAATTCTTTGTGTTACTATTCAATTAAATACAATACGCATATCGATTATAAGCAGTCTGAAGTACTGGACAAAACTTTCTTTTTTTCTGTTAGCAAATATAAGTCGTAATATGGAAATGAAAGTATTTTAACAACTGATTCATTAACTGAAACATTTTTGTGTCAAATACCATAAATATGAATTTCATGTTTAACAGTAAAATATACAGACATCTGAATAGCTTAACAATGGACTCAATACTCGGTCGCTTGTCAATCAACATTTTCATAGACAAACAGCTTATTGAAAAGTTCTCGTTTTACTAACGATATATAATAATATATTCATTATTTGTAAAGATAATACTTATTTATAATATGCCAAATAAATCTACTTAGCTGTAAAATTAAGCACGAATAGAGAACACAGTCATATTCTGATTTCGTACATTTTAAAATATATTAAATAGTTAAAAAGTAAAGTCATACAACTATGTTGTGAAAAAAAATAAGCATGTAGAGATTATTTTACTTTATGTAATTATTTACATTTTATTATGAGTTAAACGATATTGAATTATCTGTTCAATATACTCTTTGTTGTTTTCAGACCAAAATCATCAATTAGTCTACAATGTGCTTTGATTATTAATCTGGCCATTTCTGATTTTGGATTTTCAGCAGTGATTGGTTTTCCTTTAAAGACAATTGCTGCTTTCAATCAATACTGGCCATGGGGAAGCGTAGGTATGCCAAGAATGTTTAGAGTCTACCAGAAATAGTCATTATAAGCAGAGATGGATGATGGCTAGTAGTGGAATCCAGGACGCTCGTTTCGTCCTATTTGGGACTTGTCAACTAAATGTACCCGAATCCCGGAGTTGTTGTTATCTCCAGAACTCAAATCCAGTACCGTCCACTTCAAACTCCATCACATTATCCACTTAGCTACATTCAGCTGATGATTCTCAAATAAAACAAAACGCACGTCCTGGATTCCTCTGTTAGCTACCACTCATCTCTGCTTATAATCCTTTTAACCTAAGGCAATATCGGGGCGATCTGCATATAATGCACATATGCCAATGAGACTGATCAATTACAGTCTTAAACGTCAATGGGAAGATTCAAATCACCAATATATACAAATGAATTAGGAATAGTCATTGTTCTTTGTTAGTCATTTGCTGGGTAATATATGTATTTCCAATATTTTTTATATAGTTTTTGTTAAGATCTACATGTAAATATATATATATATATATGCGCTGTTCTAAAATCTTGGAATTGTTAAATTATAAATAACTTATCAAAGGGGGACGTGCAATGAGAAAAGTAGCACAATAGTATCTATATGGAACAAGAAACTAGTTAAAACAGGTAAAATGACTAAAACTGTTCAGATAAATCTAACATTATGAAAGCATTACAGAGAAGAATGAAATGATTGAAAATGTAATCACAATTGATTGATCACTGGGTGGTGATCAATGTCATGCGTGTCAAGTCCTTCTTTAGTGCTGATCGAATGCTATCGATCAAGTTGCAATGTGGCCACCAGTCTAGGTGGCTCGACACTGCTTGCACTATATATATATTGAGGTAAGATGGTGGTTGGTCGCGGCCCGAATAGCTCATGAGGTAACATCTCTGACTGTGAAGCTGAGTGACACGGGATCGAATCCGCCAGGGAGCATCAGTTCCCTCAAGATTACAGGTACACCTTGCTGACGAGTGCCAAGTAGCACGAAACCCGGATCCAGGGTTTCCTGTTGACCACCTCCAACCAGCATCTTACCTCAATATGATTGAAAATGTAAATAATGTCACAAAAAGTAAAAAAATGGTCGTTTCTTATGCCCGGTAAACATCAACGTTATTTAGAAAAATATTTTTATGAATTAGATTCTATGTAAGATTGAGCTATCTAGTTCATGAAACTTTCACTTGAGTACTTAATTTTGCTTTGATATTGTCGTGAAAACAAGTATAATGAAATTCTAAACATCATAAGGAAAATTAATTTGTGAATCATGGTCGTAAACGACACTCTGTGGTTTTGTAATAAAGTACTCACTTTACCCAACAGTATGCCATTGAAATATTAAAAATAAACTCATTGCAAGTATAAAATATCTCCAGAAACTCCTTCACACCTAAAATTAAATCCTTAAACGTAAATATAATAAAAAGGTTAATGGCAGGTAGGTATTTATTTTCAACCACTATGGTATTTTGTTATTCCTAGTCACATAAAGTTTTTGTTAGTAACTGCATATAATATATATAGCATAGAAAGGGATTCTACTTTATTCTGGACATTTCGGGGCCCTCATATCCCTATATATAACCCTGACAACAAGGAGAATAGATCTAATGAAAATATTTGTTACAAATGTTTGGTTAGTAAAAATATTGAGCATCTCTTGGAACAAACGTTAGGTATACTATTGAGTTATAGACATTCTAACGGTTTCAATACCTACAAGAAATAAGCGACTTTATGTATTCTATTTTGATAAATATTAAACAATAATCCATCTTTAATATACGGGCTGCTACTTTTATATCTGCGGGTGTCATCGCTATTATGTACTAATGGACTCTGTTGGATCCTTAGTCTTGCTATTTATATATGAAAACCGGTAACTGCTACAATTACTCAACACTACTAAATACGTTTGAAAATAGGAACGGTCTCGATTCACACAACGATGTGTAAAGAGTTAAGATTTATTAGCGCTCTAAAGCAAGCCCTAAAATAAAAATTAATTTTCTCAATAGCATAAAAGATGAATACTCATATATTTTTAGTAGATTGACTTAACTATGTCGAATTTTGTCTAATATGTAGAACTTGAAATTTAGTGAACAAGAACATGAGTGGGGACAATCGAATGTATTGAGGCACAAATTACAGACTATCTTAATAAAATCTGATAACCATACATTAAACAGTTAATTTGCCAAATAACAATCAATTGTCTCAATCTTAACTGTTCCTTCTGCTAATATTAGTCTGTCTTCTCTGATTTCATTTCATGCATTTTCTTACCGATTACGCTTCATTTCTGTTCTTTTCTTATCGATCTTTTGCCAAAATACTTTCTATATCTGACCATCACCATATACTACTTATGTGGATATAAGTAGCCCACACCACAGGAATACTTCACTGAAAATATATCAATTTGTAAATTAAAAAAAATTCAATGACAAATATAAATGAATCTTTGTAGAGTATATTTTTATTTTCAGCTTGCCAATTATATGGATTTATAAGTGCTACATTTGGATTTTTATCTTTAACGACTATCGCTGCAATTTCATTTGACCGTTATTTGGTCATAGTTAAAGACCATAAAACTACAAATTTTCGGGTCATCTGTACTGTTATAGGATTTTTATGGATATGGTCAATAATATGGACTATTCCTCCATTCTTTGGTTTTGGTAGGTTCAAATCATAATTTTTTTGACAAGCATTACAGATTGTATTTTATTTAGATGAAACTGGGCTATAAGTTAAGATCTTATAACTCATTTTAAATTATCATCACATTATATATTCTGTAATTGAGACAAACTCATTAAAATGAAAGTGTAAACAAATGTCATGAGGTAGTACATAATATAGTTTTAAAAAGGTGTACATGGTTACTTTTGAGTAATATGCATTGGATATTATGTGAAACACGGTTTACTTTTTTTGAAAGATTACAGTGTGCGGAAATGAGATGATGAATAAGAGTATAATTTAGAAATCTTATTTAATATGTCATATAATGTCTGTAATGCTTATTATTTGTATTATGAATTGCATGAATTCATTAAGGATTCACTTAAATAATGGTAACTAATTGGTGGTGGATATAATAAAATTCAAACCTATTTACCAACGTTTGTATAGATAGATGTATCTAATTAGAATTATGTTATGAAGCAGTTATTCTAAATTATGAATTCTCAGTTCATTCAAAATAACTTGCTAACAAAAAAAAATAAATAGAAATCACACAAAAAATCTTCAAGGTTTTCATGAGATCATGCTGGGTGTCTCATCAGCCCTTGTGGTCTGGTGTGTGACGAAATCTCAGCACGGATACAGAAGGCTCGTCTAGCTTTCGCCAACTTGAGTCATTTATGTTGTAGGCGAGATATCCGTCTAACAACCTAAGGACGGGTTTACTGTGCAGCAGTTCGCTCCGTCCTACATTATGGCAGTGAAACATGGCCGATAAGAGTAGAGGATATTCGTAGGCTACTAGTATTCGATCATAGGTGTCTTCGAAGCATTGCTCATATATCCTGGGACCACCGGGTAAGTAATGCAGTTGTTAGGAAACGGGTGCTAGGTAAGGATGGCAAATCGATTGACGAAGTATTGAAACTTCATCAGTTGAGATGGCTGGTACACCGACTGCCCCGACGTGCAATGCTTTATGGTGTAGGAATAGGTCGGAAGGAAGTTAAGGGCGGCCAGACCAAAACGTGGCACAAATCAATGAAGTCACTGACAAGTAGACTGAACCATGTTGGTAGGTGTAGACTACCTGGTTGAGATTCGCGAGATGATGGCAATCATTGGTTAGAGACCTTGAGTGACATGTCTCAAAATCGTTTGCAATGGCGAACGTGCATCCACTCATTGTGTTCTCCCAAATTCTAATCTTCTGAATTCCTCATGTCTTTATATTTTTCTCTTTCCAAATTTATTTCACTGGATTATACTCTTTAAATAGCATCTTCAAACCCTAATCTTTCGAATTACTGCTTATACTCTTACTACTTCTACTAATGTGGGATTTGAATCGACAACTGTATCTCTGTGCTCATGTGGTATGGCAACTCGAAATGATGTACGTACGTTTGAAGTTCTACGTTGTGACTGACGAGATCATGTTACTCTTACTGACTGTTTAATAAACATCTGTATTTAAACAATGAATATCTCCGAAAAAGCTATTCTGTAATGTATCTTATATTTCAAACATTACAAGGAATATTAAAATGACTGTGTAATCAAAATTAAAAGTATAAATACTTATTTTATTAATTATTCTTTTAAAATTTTTCTGTTCTAAAATAACAACTGAAGCATAAGTTTTAATTTCAAGATATTACGCAATCAATATCATAATTTACTTATTGCACTGTTTGAATTTAAGAGTGAAGTTTTGTCAATAATACTAAAATAAAGACAGTATATTTATCGCTGTATATTTTGCTTGTCTTTAGGACGTTATGTTCTTGAAGGATATCAAACGTCGTGTACATTCGATTATATTTCGAATGATATGCCTAGTCTTTTATTCAGCGGTGGAATGTATATATTTGGATTTATGTTTCCAGTGCTTTTATCCATATATTGTTATGCTAATCTACTTAGAATTGTTCGCAACAATGAAAAAATAGTATTAATATCTTTATCTAATGATGGTGCATCGAAACAACATAAATCCGTACGAAGTAAGTAAACTTTGTTATAAAAAGGTTTTGCCCTAAAGATAGTTGCGGAAATTATTTGGATTTGTGGAGTAAATATGGTCTGATACTTACTTACGCCTGTTACGCCTCGTGGAAGAGCATAGACCGCCAACAGCATTCTCTATTTAACTTTGTCCTGGGCAATCCTTTGCAGTTGCTATTCATTCTGTTCATATCTGCTTCCAATTCCAGACGTAGTATGTTCTTCGATCTTCCTCTCTTCTGCTTCCCTTCAGGATTCCAAGTTAACGCTTGCCTCGTGATACAGTTTAGTGATTTCCGTAATGTATGTCCTATTCACCTCCAACGTCTTTTCCGAATTTCCTCTTCAGCTGGAACCTGGTTTGTTTTCTACCATAAAAGGTTGTTACTGGTTGTATCCGGTCAACGGACATTGATTTTCTTGAGCAAACAATTGTTTATAAATGCTTTGACCATTTTGATGATTGTTGTAGTAGTTCTCCACGTTTCAGCTCCATATAATAGAACTTTCTTGACTTTCGTATTGATGATTCTCACTTTGATGTTGGTTGACAGCTGTTTTGAGTTCCGTATGTTCTTCAATTGTAAGAATGTGGCCCTTGCTTTGCCAATTCTCGCCTTTAAGTCTGCACCCGATCATCACTGTCTATCAATGATGCTTCCCAGGGGTGTGAAAGATTCCACGTCCTCCAGAGTCTCTCCATCAAGTGTGATTGGGTTAGTGTTATCCATTTTGTAATTGATGATCTTCGTTTTCCCTTTGTGTATAATGAGTCTTACTGATGCAGAGGCTGCTGCTACACTATCTGACTTCATCTGCATTTGTTCGTATATATGGGATTGAAGGGCCAGGTCATCTGAGAAGTCGAAATCTTCTGAATGATCCTGAGCTGTCCATTGTATTCCGCGCTTTCTCTCAGATGTTGAGGTTTTCACAATCATCATCTGATAAGGTTAAATATAAATATCAGCAAGTGTAATAATTAATTGAAACAATTTTCTGGGAACTACGTATTTATCCTATCTTTTTATAAATGTGACATAAGTTATAGATTAAAACTTATAAAATCTTTTAGGCATCTTGGTATCTTTCTCACTGGTTAAATAACAGAGAATAAGAAGGCAAACAGGGGGAAAAATCACCAAAGAATGCTACGTTACGGGTCTTCGATAACAGTTGTCTGCAAATGATTAGTTTAGACATCTACAAACGGTGAAAATAAACCAGTTTTTTTTAAAAAGAAGAAGGAGAACAGTTATTACTACCAGATAAAAAAGTGAATATATATTGTACGTTGATTTCGATGCACTTTAACATATCATTACAACCAGAGGTATGCATGATACAGTTGTTACTACTTCTTTATACAAGCCACAAATTAGAGTTTATATAACCCTTCCTGAATCTGACAAAAATAAATAACAGAAGAATATAATCGACTTCATTGTACCATGCGTTTCACTAATGATGGTAGTGTGCATATTTCTAGATTTCATCACTCGTAGGCTGAGTTAACAAAACCACTTTATTTCACAAGTTTTTCCACCTTCAATAAGGGAATATATAATAAAATAAAATATGTGTTTTATCGATGTATATAGTGGATTTGTTTTGCAAGTTATAACTTAAGTGATGATGGTTAATTGATGATAAAACGATTAAAAAGATGAGATTAATAGAGTCCAGCGGTGGAATCCTATTTGGGATTCGTCAGCTGGATGTAACTGCACCCGAATTGATATTTACTCTGAGACTTGAACCGTTTGCTTCAAACACACGTCCTGGATTCCACAGCAATCCACCATCATCTCTAATTATAATGCATATGACTGAAGTTAATATCGAAACAGTCCGCACAGGATGCACACATACCAATAAGAGACTGATCAAAATCAGTCTTAAACATTAATAGTTTAGTTATCTCTGGTGACAAATTAGGGCTAGTCAACTCAACTCTTTAAGAAAGATAAATTTGTTCTATACAACACAGATTTGCAATACAAGATAATGGGAAGGTTTTAATGATATATAAGTCACTATATTCAGTCTAGATTCAGTCGAATTAATGATAATATGTGTTTTGTTTGGATTTATACTGTTTTATTATACATGTTTTGGATTTGATCTTCATTAAAAATCATATCTGAACTCACTGGTATTGTTTACTATTATTTTGTCAATCGATAAGGGGTACGTCAAAAAATCAATATTAGAAGTTACTACACATTCTCAAAAATAATCAAGCACACGTATACGAGGCTATCAGCTGCACTCCAGCAATTCATTTAGAACAGATAATAACCACTCATCTTCATCATTTACAAAACCTAAATTAAAAACTAATTATAAAGTTTAACTTCTAGAGAACTTAGTAATAAGTTACAAATATTACCTATGCAAGAATAACTTGATTTGTCAAGATATTAACAGTAAGCAGAGACAAGTCTCTTTTATATTTACTCCGAAAAAGGTTATACTACCTATTTAGGTAATACTGATATTTATCCAAATAATAACAATGATTGGAGTAATATTTTTTTCTTATTGTTCTTGTATTCTGTAATGATTGAAATCAAACTTTCGTTAGTCATTTTAACGTTTTACTTAATTAATTACTTACGCCTGTTACTCCAAATGGAGCATAGGCCGCCGACCAGCATTCTCCAACCCACTGTGTCCTGGGCCTTCCTTTCTAGTTCTATCCAGTTGTTGATCATTCTCCTCATATCTGTTTCCATTACTCGGCGTAGTGTGTTTTTTAGTCATCCCCTTCTCTTTTGGCCTTGAGAATTCCAATTGATGGCTTGCTTTGTGACTCAATCGGGTGCTTTCCTCAATGTGTGTCCTATCCACTTCCAGCGCTTCTTCCTGATTTCTTCCTCCACTGGAATTTGGCTTGTTCTTTCCCACAGTAGAATGTTGCTGATAGTGTCTGACCAACGGATCCGAAGTATTTTGCGTAGACAACTGTTAATAAACACCTGTATCTGGATGATGTCTTTCGTAGTTCTCCGCGTCTCCACCCCATACAGTAGAACTGTCTTGATATTTGTGTTTAAAATTCTGATCTTGGTGTTGGTTGACAATTGTTTTGAGTTCCAGATGTTCTTCAGTTGTTAATATTCTGCTCTTGCTTTGCCGATCCGGGCCCTCACATCTGCATCAGATCCACCGTGTTTATCAATGATGCTACCCAGATATATAAAGGTTTTCACATCTTCACAATCTTCTCCATCAAGTGAAATTCCATTGGTGCATGCTGTATTGTATCGGAGGGTCTTGCTTTTCCCTTTGTGTATGTCGAGACCTACTACTGCTAAGACTGCTGCCACACTGGTCGTGTTCTTCTGCATTTGTTGTTGTTGCGTGTGTGATAGAAGAGCTAGATCATCTGCGAAGTCTAGATCGTCCAGGTGCATCCTAGCTGTTCACTGTATCCTGTGATTCCCCTCAGATGTTGATGTCTTCATAATTCAGTCGAGCACTAGGAGAAAGAGAAAGGTAGAGAGTAAGCAACCTTCCCTAACACCGATCTTTACTTCAAACGAGTCAGTGAGCTGTCCTCCATGTACGATTTTGCAGTTTAATCCATCATAGGAATTCCGTATGATATTGACTATCTTTTCAGGCACGCCGTAGTGTCGAAGAAGCCTCCAAACGTTTTAGTTAGTTATTAAATAATTTCAAATATACAGTGCTGGTACTTCATAAGGTTATGCAATTTACTGTCAATAGACACATGAATTTTCTCAGTTTATAAGCTTGATTAACAATATTTTTCCTAATCTAGCAATAAATTTCAGTCTAAAAGAGAGATTAAATTAAGTATCTTGTTATAATAGTTATAAATTTGCTCAAATGTGAGTTTTATCGATGAACGAAATATATGTAAAATCATTAAACCTATTGAATGTGTCTTTTTGCTTGTTTCCTACAAACAGACAGAAAGCGTTTGGATATTGAAGCTACCAAATCAGTTATCCTTTCTCTCTTATTTTATTTAATGTCATGGACACCATACGCCATGGTCTGTCTCATATCAATTCTGGGTCAACCATATTTTTTAACACCAACAATAGCTGAAATGCCTCATATATTTGCCAAAATGGCAGCTATCTATAATCCAATTCTATATGCATTCACAAATCGAAAATTCAAGAACGCTTTGGGAATACGAAAAACTAGCAGCGTAATCATGCAACAACAAAGATTACTGTCAAAAGGACAATTAAAACCACCGGTTAGTCTTTTACTCCTAGTTAATTGACAAGTGATAGTCTTTTTAAAGTTGTTTCTGAATCAGTTTAAAATCTTTATTTCAAACTACATTACCTGTTGTTTAGTTGTTTTGATTACACTACTAACTTAATTTTCCCCTAATTCCAAATATCCGTTCGAATTTAAGCGTGAGTTTATTAATGCATCATTTATTCGAATTACTATTGAGATTTATCTGATAATCAATTCATAATCCACTAATAAGTTAGTGAGTAATAACGGATGTCATGTAGTTTCTGTTTCAATCAATTTTCAGCTGTCTGGTTATCAGATTTAATGGACTGGTATCGTAATGGGACCAGAATATCTAAATGGCAATGTTTTGAGTGTGACAACGGGTGATGGAAATTATGGCCACTCATGATGATAGACAAGTATTAACACGAAAACTAAGCCTTCGGCTTCTTGTAGAACTCTTCAAACCACCCAACTTAAACGCATATTACAGACAAACGGGCGGAAAGTAAAATAATAATTTACCTATTCCATCAATATGGTAATTTCATCAATATTATAGTGTAACTACTAGATAATATGTTTGAACTTTTAACGTCACTGATTTGTGCGAAATTTTGATGTTAATGGTATGATAAACTACTTTCAAAATTTAAGTAACATAGTTATTTTTGAGAAAGATTTCTAATCATGGAAATCTGTATTTACGAAACAGTTCGTGATAGTTGTCAATATCGTCAAATAAAGAGAGAATATAAGTTTTTTATTTTAGAAGGAAAGACTTCATGTAATCACCACAGAGTTTTTGTCAGGGTATGGAAAATATGTGCTTTCATAAATGGTTTATGAATGACATCATGGACATATGTGACAAAACGGAAAATGCAAATTGTTTAATAAATAAATTAGCGCTCTCCAAAATTCCAGTAGGATTTTACGTAAAGAGGAGACGAATAGTCAGTTTTAGCCTACAAATTTACTTATAAGTATCAGAAATTGTTCATTCAAATGATACGTATATAGAAAGCCTACATGGACAGACAGTATTTCTGTTATTTTAATAATCGGCTAGATAAATACAATCAGGCTTCATAAAGGATCTGTTGAATAGAACTGACTGATATGTGCAGATCATGCTACTAAAGATTTGATGGAACCTTTAAAAGAAACATTGGGGTGGGGGAGGAAGACTATCTACCAAATCTCATAAATAAGTGAGAACACAGTTCAGTGTCATTTACTGTGATACCCGCATCTGAATATGCTCGTTTACATCACCCTAGTATTCAGAGCATTCAGATAGCTTCGTGTTGAATCGATGATTAAATCATTTATGTGGTCCATGTTTCACAATAAACCTAAATAGCCTGTAAATAATCACACCACATCTCTATGTGTTTGTCAATTTACATATATATGAACAAACATATATTGAGAGGAAAAATCGTGATATGAAAGGTAGAGGATAGTTGATCTTGTTCCAAAAAGGCTGAAAGAACAAACTCTGAAATGATCCAATAATAGTATATGAAAAATAAACGTCTTCCATCATCGAACTCATAGTTGAAATCAATATTAGGATTGATCGTAACTTGGTCTTTATGGTTTTGTATAAATGTTGTTTAAAGTGTATATTTATTTTGCAGAATTAATCATAAAAAAGTTCAAATTCTCTTCTATTCAAAATCAACTTGTAATTATATCAAACCTAATTTAATATGATTGTTTTTTTAAAATTCATTGTTTACATTGTTTCCCTTCATTATTTTCTGTTATTCTTATCTTTTAATTTGCTTAACTTGATCCTTATTTTATGTGATCACATTGTCTGAATAGTATTTGGCCAATACATCACATGGTTGAAATAAACATTGTGTTATCTAAATTTACTGATAATGGTTATTGTCTTCGCCTACTTAGTTTTGAATCAACTTAAATTAACAATATTATTATTATTATTATCATTATTATTATTATTATTATTATCAAAGTATGTGTTTGAACCCAATTTATCTGAGTGATTATTTTCATTCATCTAACAGATATTAAGATATCTTCTCTTACCACAGAAGATAAATAACTGTAAGAGTTTAAACAGATATTTCAGTTACAAGAAAATTGTTTTGTTTATCAAAGATTGCTTGATTAAACTATCTTGAAAGAAGTAATAAACATGGAATAACAAATATTTGGAAAAATTTTGTTATGTATGGATGTTTCTTTCATTCAAGCATTAACAAATAAATCAACTCGAACGTACCAATATTGCATAAAAATAATACAGGAACTTTATCTCTTAACTAAATTACTTGGTAAATATTGTTTACAGAGAGGGTTTTTATAATACTCAAAACTCTTTCAAATAGTCAATTTTAAAGCTTATATTTTATAACTTATTCTAAATGAAGACATACATTCAATCATTATTCTTGAATTACACTAAGAATTGTCATTCAAACTTATTCTGGATTTAATTCACTTAGTATTTTTTGTTTCAATTTACACATTGATGATCAACTCTGAGATTGAGGTACATCCAGCTGACGAAGTCCAAATTGGACGAAACGCGCGTCCTAGATTCCACTGCTAGCCACTATCCATCTTTGCTGATTCTGGATTAGTTTATTAATTTTTACTGATAACAAAGAATACAATTATTTGAGGTTGGATTAACTTACCTCAGCTACTGAAAGTAAACCGGTTGTTCATTAGAAAATCTATTTAAAACTGTTTTTTGTAGCAAAAAGCATTGTATTTTATGTTTATAATTCAAGCTTTTGATGAGTTTTAATTTAATTCACTTGTAATACTTCCGAATTTATTTTTCAGAGCAGTTAGACCAGATAAGAAGTCAAATGGAAATAACAAAAGACATTCAAAATCATAAAAGAATATCTACCAAATAATGACGTGAGAAATACAAATTAAAAGACAGAAACATTTTTATTTTAAATAGAATAATTATTAGTAATTACAGTTGTATATTTTCATATAATTCATACAACAACAAATAATTAAGGGACACCGCATAACTTGGAGCTGATCGTGTGATGAAAGTTTACTTTAGTTTATTAATACAGGTTTTAGTTAGCATCCACATAAGTAGCAGTAGAAATGGCTTTATTTTGTAATATTGAGTTATTTTGAGCTCATAATAAAAGATATGAATTTGTAAAGCTTATCTGTACTAAACCAAGGATTTTAACCCTAAATTTATTTGTATTGACATGAACAAATTTATCTATTCTATAATTTGCTTCATAATTTATTCTGTGTTTTGTCTACAGACATATTGAGCTAAGCAATTTTATCTGGAACACAAACTCAAAATAGTTAGATAGGTGGAAATTACAATAGTTTCGGGGTTTACCTTAAATTGTTCGTCTTTTTGCTTAACAATAGTTACCTAAATGAACAGATTATAAATGGAAATATATGGACGTACACAATTTCGCTACACACAGCCATCAGTTGTGAACAAGTAACTGATACACCGAAAAATCAACAAATAATAAACGATTAAAATAATAATCAAATTCAGTTTTATGTGGTGAATTAGGCGCTACACTATCATTAAATTTGCCAGACTTGGAATTGTCAGATGGTAATATGAGTCTTTGAAACATGCATGGATTGTAAGTTTGTTTATGTTTCCTAAGTTATTGATGATCTGGATTACATAAACCAAATAAATAAGGTAACAGAATATTCTCATTAACGTAAGAAAACTTAGTCTGTCGGCTTCATATTTCTTTCTTTCAACTCAAGTAATCTATATGATTGGATAGTTAATTTCTCTCTGAAGTATGCGCTAGTGATTTTTCCTAGAAAGAAAATGAAAGCTTCAAAACTCAACCGTTCGCCTCAAAGAACTCAATACCTTTAAAATCACTTTTCTTTTACACATATCTCACAGAATCTCTCAAATTCGGTAATAATTACTCAGTTTACATTCAAATGTTATCCATTTGGACATTATGCATTTAGATATTCAATATTGTTATGAGGGGTTTAATGAATCAGTTGTATTTTAATTTAATTGCACACACAGAATATCAATAGTTATTTCTAAAAGAAAAGATTTTTAATTAGTTAAATAATTATCTACCTAAATAAAGAAAAAACAAAGATCGTTGCAGAATAATATGAATCTAATAAGTTCGCTTATTTCGTTCAACTATTTACGATCTAGAAACAATTAACCATGTAAACGTTAACAACAATCTACGTCCTTCATATGGGGACCGTGTTTGTTGAAACTGAGTTTGATGTAGAATAATAAATGAAAAAAAATTATAAAGAAATTTAAAGGTTAATTTCCCTGGTTGTCAATATATATATATATATATATATATATATTGGGCAATCAACTAAATCAAACTCATCATAAGAGGTCAACTTTCTTGACTGTGAGGGCGTGTCTGACAGAGTGGATAGAAAAACCTTGTGGAACGGTCTTCGACAATATGGTGTGTCTGAGATGATTATCATCATTATAGGGAATTATTTTGACGGACTACGCTGCAAAGTCGTCTATGGAAGACAGCTGACAGATGTATTCCAAGTGAGGACCAGTGCCAGACAAGGCTGCATGCCCTCGTCCTCTCTCTTTCTTCTGGTGATTGACTGGACTACGAAGATCCACACATCTGAGAAAAAGCACGAAATACGATGAACAGATTGGATGCAGCTAGACCATTCGGACTTTTCAGATGACCTAGCTCTTTTATCCCATACGCACCAAGAAAAGGTCATGACAACCAGTTTGGCAGAAGCCTCCGCATCAATGGACCACAACCTTACAATGAGCAGGAACCAAATCGTACATGATAGTGAAGTTCTTGAAGAGATCGAAAGTTTTACGTGCTTGAGTAGCATCATAGGTAAACAAGAGGGATCTGATGCTAGTGTGAAGGCACGGATCGGCAAAGTTAGAGAGGCTTTCCTACAATTAAAGAACACCTACAACTCAAAACAGATATCAGGCAACTCTAAAATCATAGTTTTCAATA